ACTAGGAGCTGTAATCATTATCTCTGTTACGGTAATAATTAAAATGTATAAAATCAAGAGAAATAACAACATTATGCTTAAAGGAACAATAGACAATGAAAAAATTAACAATAATTTATTTATATGCACCAACTGGCTTAACAGACAAATTTTTTTATAAAAGGACCAATTTCTGTAAACAGTACTTTGTAGTTGTAGTCCTATAGTGCTTGCCTGTATCTCCATAGGTAGACTCTCATAGTTTATACATTCTATAGTTATTATCAATGGAATTTCTCTTTTGATCTCTTCCTTCTGAGTTTTATTGGCATTACACAAAAATATTAATGGCTTGGGCACATTTATTCTGTATCCTGCAACTTCACTGAAATTATTCATTGTCCAATTAATTGTTTCATTTACTCTCTAACATTTTTAAGCACACCATCGTATCATCTGCAAAAAGTTATCATTTTGTTTTTTCCTTATCTATGCTCATTCTCTCAATTTCTTTTTCTTGTCTTATTGCCACAGCTAACATTTCTAGCATCCTGATCTTATTTGAAAGGGCTCTAGTATATCCCCATTACATATAATTCATTCCCCTTCCGGATCTACTCCTGACTTTTTGGACTTCAAAAACATGTGCCCACCCTGGGTACCTTCAAAGATTCCTGGTCTCCCTCTCCCCACTCCATCCACCCACCCCACTGTGTTTTTAAAGCTCCTTTTGTTTTTTGTCTTCTCCCATTAGAATGTAAGCTCCTGGAGGGCAGAGACTATCTTTTTTTTGCTTGTATCTGTATTCTAGCACTTAGCACTCTGTCTGGTATCTAGTACACACTTTAAAAATGCTTTTTGCCTTGCTATATAATGCTGGCTCTTGGTTTTTTCCCAATATATTCTTCATATATGCATTTCCCTGATAAAGTTTCTTTCCTCCCACTCACAACAAGAGGAGGCTTATGCTCCTCCTCCTTCCCTAATCTTTGTTGTTCAGTTGTTTCAGTCATGTCTGACTTTGTGACCCTATTTGGGGTTTTCTTGGCTAAGCTACTGGGGTGGTTTGCCATCTCCTCCTCCAGCTCATTTTTACAGATGTGGAAACTGAGGCAAACAGGGTGAAGTGACTGGCCCAGATCACACACAAAGTCTTTGAACTCATGAAGTCTTCCTGATGCTAGGCTTGGTACTCTGTGCACTATGGCACCCCCTAGATGTGGGGAATTAGTTCTTCCCAATCCAACTGATGGGTCTATTTGAGATTACAGGACATGAGTCATTGCTTGGAGAAAATGATAGAATAGAAGGAACTTTTAATGATTGAATGATTAAGGATCATCCTTTCTTCCTTTTGTGTGGCCTGTAAGATATTTTGGTGGTGCTATTGGGACTTTTGATCTCTAGGTCTCCTTTTTTAAGTTTTTCCCTAGCAGAATGATCTAGGTGATGTAGTAGATAGAGCATTGAGCCTGTGGTCAAGAAGAATTGAGTTCAAAATCAGCCTCAGATGCTTCCTAGCTATATGACCTTAGGCAAGTCACTTAACCTATGTCTGCCTCAGTTTCCTCAATTGTAAAATGGGGGTTGGTAATAAGAACATCTACGTCCCAGGATTGTTGTGAGGATCAAATGAGGGTGTTTGAGAGTTCCTTCCTGGCTTGCTCTTTCAAAAGCATAAGATGGGAGATTGGGACAGATAGAAGGATGGATTTCTCCCTACCCTGACCCATCAACAGTGATGACAATTTTTCAAATCTGGCCTCAGACACTAGCTGTGTGACCCTGGACAAGTCACTTAACCCCGATTGCCTCACCAAAAATAAAAACCACAGTAATAACAATTTATAGCAGAAGCATATGGTATTTAAAAAACAAATGTTAAAAATTATTTTTAGAGCAATTGGGAAAAAATGAAATATTTTTGAAGAAGAAGAAGAAGAAGAAGAAGAAGAAGAAGAAGAAGAAGAAGAAGAAGAAGAAGAAGAAGAAGAAGAAGAAGAAGAAGAAGTTGGACTAGATGGTAGCTTCCAACTCTCAAATTATTTTGTGAAGGGAAATTTCCTGGGCAGCCCCAGCTTTGAAGAGTGGTCCCATAAGTAACCTTAGCTTGAGCATTCAAGAGTTTCAAGACATAGAACATAAGGCCTTCCAGAGCCAAAGTTTGTGACCTGGAGCCCATGAAGTTATCTTTCAAATATATTGAGAGTTGTCTTTTAATATAAGTGGTTTCTTTTGTAATCTTTTGTATTTTATTTTATATATTGATCAACACTGTTCTGAGAAGGGCTCCACAGGCTTCACCAGACTGCCAAAGAGATTGGCAGAACCCCTGTTTAGATCTTTTGATGTGGTGTGCTACGTGGAGAAAGAAGAGGCATAGTTCACATAAATCCTGCACATGTTCCTATGTGGCAAGCAATACAATATCTTTTGGCAACCAGATGACATTAACCACTTGACATTTCTTCGTGTTTATTTCCATGTTTATATAGTGTATCCATTCAGGTGAACTGGAGTTCCTTGAAGGCAAGGGCCACTTTATTTGTCCTGGGTTTTTTTAATTCCCACTACCCATCACATAGTAGGCTCTTAATAAATGTTTAGGGGCAGCTAGGTGGCACAATGGATAGAGTACCTGGCCTAAAATCAGGAAGACTGAGTTCAAATCCAGCCTGAGACACTTAGAATGTGACCTTGAGAAAATCACCTAATCCTATTTGCCTCAGTTTCCTCATCTGTAAAATGAGCTGGAGAAGAAAATGGCAAATCACTACAATATCTTTGCCAAGAAAAACCCACAAAGAGTCAGATACAACTGAAACAATTGAACAACAACATTTGTTAAATTGAATCTTTATTCACTCAGGATGACGGCCAAGTCCTTAGGGGAAGTGAACTTTGAGTCTCTAAACATTTCTAGAATTAGAAGAGATGTCAGACACCACTAGTTCAACCTTCTCGTTTTATAGATGAGGAAACCGAGGTCCAGGGAGGTGTGGTGTCTTGCCTAAGGTCACACAGGGAGTGGCAGAATTGGGATTCAAACCCAGGGCCTCTGGGGTCATGAAAAGGAAATGAAACCTAAGCGAGAAATGAAACTGATCATGAAATTGATCTGCTGCAGAGTCTGAATGAAGAAATGTTTTCAACACTTTCATTACCTTTCAAATGCTACATAAATGGGAGTTGGTTTCATTCTGATTTTTATCATCACGATTTAGTGCCATGACTCATGAATCCTCAGGGCCAAAAGTCATGGACTGATAAGAGTTGCCTTCCATGTGATTTCAGTTTCCAAACATCAGTCAGTTAGCCAGCATTGATTAGGAGTTTTCTGTAGTCCAGGCACTGTTCCACATGCTGAGAACACAAAGAAAAGTTAAAAGTCTCTTCCTCCGACATAGAGACGTGTAAATAGTTTTGTCCGTATGTAGGGCTGGGTGGCAGAATACCTTGAGTTAAGCAAGCATGCGTTGTTATTAAGTTGCTTTTTGGTCCTGGCACAGAGAAGGTACCTAACAGGTGTTTGTAGATCGATTGATTGCTTCAATATCAACCCAAAAGTAAGTCTTTAGTGATGTATCACAAGTACTTGGCTTTGGTATGGTTTAGCTTTTTTTTGTTTGTTTTTAATGGTGGGTAAAGGTTTACGTGACATGCTGATTGGATTTGTGCATGATACGAAACTAGGAGAAATAACTATCTCATCAGATGCCAAAAGTAGGATTTTTTGAATCCTTGACAAGTTAGAGCACTGATCTGAACCTGAAACGAAACTGAAACAAACAAGACAATTCAAAGAAGAACAAATTCAAAGTCTTACATTTGGCTTCAAAATACTTCAAGTTCACAAGCACAAGATGGGCAAGGCATGGCTAAATGATAGCTCCTCTGAAGAAAAGATCTGGAGGTTTCAGGGAACCCCCGAGGTCAATGTGAGTCTCCAGTGTGATGTAGCAGATTGTCAGCAAATGCAGCTGTTGATGTGACCTTAGGCTGAATTATGAGAGCGAGCTTGCAGGAATAAGGAAGAAAGGTTATTTCTGTTGTGCTCTGCTCTGCTCCGCCCTGCACTGACCATCCCTGGAATACTGAATTCAGTGCTGAGAGTACCACGTCCTCAGGTGGGTTGTCTGATGATGGACCTTGGATCTTGGACCCAATGGGTACCTAATTCATCTTCTGAGCTGCTCTTCCAATAGAACTGACTCCAAAGTGACCTCATTACACTTAGAGATTATAGGAGCATTGATTTAGCCCTGGTCATATAATGCAATTCCATTTAACAAATAAGGTGACTGAGGTCCTCAGAGAAGTGACTCACCCAAGGTCATATAGGTAGTAAGGGGATGAGATGGGATTCCAACCCAGGTCCCCTGACTCAAATCCAAAGTTCTTGCTACTCCTATGATATGTCTTGGGAGAAAATTAACAACTGAGGGTGAAGGGTTTAGGAAATCCCTTCATCAAAAAGGGAGGAATGGTTTGGAGGAGAGATGACCCTATTGGTAATGACTGGGCCATCCACCCAGTCATTACAAATTGCTACCCACCCTTTCTCTGCACCCTTAGGACCTCTGGACCCTTCCATTTACCCTGAATCTAAACTATTATATGCATTCAGGCAGTGTGAGCTCCTGGAGAGCAAAGGCTACTCTGATTTTTTTCATTTTGTATCCTAAATCAACCTTTGATATACACAGAAGCACTTAAGTGTTTTTTCATTCACTTCACTCATTCATTCAAGCGTCAAGAGACATTACCATGGTCACATCTTAAAGCCATGGTCCCCATCCTTCTGGGTCCAGTTGAGAAAGAGTGAAGTCCTTCCATGCAGACTGTATGCTGGGAAAAATCCTGAGGTTCTGAAACAGCACTCCATTGAGAAAAGCCAGAACAGTTTCAGGTTCCCAGCAGACTGGAAACTGAGAAGGAAATTGAAAGTACTCATTCTAATCTATCATCTGATAGGACAGAGGAAGAGAAAGGCGGAGCCGCCTGGTAAAAGTGAGCTCAGGCAGGAAGAGGTCTGTGTGAGTATTCTGGAGTTTCTCAGCCAACCTGGCAGGGATGGAGACGTTCAAAGATTTGTATGACACCCCTGCTGAAAAGCTAGATGCCTTTGTAGCTCATGTGCTTCAGCCAGATAAAGAGTGGAAGGACGAGGTCAAAGATGTCTTTGAGAGGATTGCGGAATTCTTTCAAGAGCAATGCTTCCAGGACTACATGATGAGTGACAAACAGGTCAAGGTGATAAAGGTGGTGAAGGTAAGGACCAGTTCCATTCTTCAGAATAGGAGAGCCCAACCCCACCTATGAATAGGAGGAAAGGTGATGCCATGACAGAAAAAACACTGACTCTGAGGTCAGAGGCTCTGCGTTCAAATCTCCCCTCTGATGCTTACTTACCTGTGTGCTTTTGAAAAGGTCAGTCGGTCTACAGGCCTCTGTTTCTTCCTCTATAAAATTAGAGGATTAGATTAGATGGTCTCTGAGGGCCTTTCCAGTTTCAGATCTATGATTCTAAGTCACTTAGACTTTTCAAAGAGCATGAGAATCAGTGATGACCAAGTAGTCAAGCAGGAAGAAGAAAAGTGTTTTAGGTTCACGAGGGTAGGAGGAGAGAGAAGAGAGACATGAAGACCTGGGATCAACATCCCCTTACTTCACAGGGAGATGTTACCCTGAACCCTTAGGCCAACCATTCATTTCCCCAATAGGGCATGTCCACTATGACCAACTTTATCCATATTTCCTTTCTCCTCTATCCACAGTTCCTGGCTCTAGGTAAAAAGGTGAGCTCTCTCCAGGAACTAGCCTGGGTCCACTTTCTGATTCCTCTGAATCAAGTGGCACAGAGATGTTTGATAAATGAAGGCCAGACCCCTTGATCTAGCCTCTTCCCCCACCCAACACCCAGTTTCCTCTGTGGGAAAATATAAACACCCTCCGAAAAGTCTGAACAGACTCTCTGAATAGTTACAGAACAAGCTAAGGTTTTGCACTCTCTCCTCTGGTGCCAACTCCTCTGTCTCTTTGATAAAAATTCTTCCTCTGCATCTCATATCCTCAGTTTCTAGCTTTTCCTGGACTCTCTTCCACACAGTTCTGTTAGGACTGTGCTATGCTTTTGTACTTCTCTTCCATTGCCTATATTTAATTCCATTTTTGTGCATGACTTTTAAAAATTTAAGTTAATTAATGAGTTTCTTTTGCATTCACACTAGTCTTTTTAGACAACTCACCTTTCGTCCTCATCAGAACTCATTTTAAGAGTACTCAGTGAAGAAAGACCCAAAGGTCAATTTCTTTTTTTTGTTTTGTTTTTGTTTTTTAGTGAGGCAAGCAGGGTTAAGTGACTTGCCTGCAGTCACACAGCTAGTAAGTATCACGTGTCAGAGGCTGCATTTGAACTCAGGTCCTCCTGACTCCAGGGCTGGTGCTCTATCCACTGCATCACCTAGCTGCCCCCAAAAATCAATTTTTTGGATAAATTTTCAGTGCCTTCTCACTGCCATCTTCCTCCCTCCTGGAGTGCCTAAAGTCAAAGCCTCCCAAATCAGAAAGTCTAGGAATTTCTGACTTTGCCTAATTGCAGGAGCTCAAGGGATAGGCAGACTTTAGGGTCTGGCTTTCTTTAGTTTTTTTTATCTCTGGAATAGGTATTACAGTGGATAAGGGCACTGTGCCTGGAGTCAGGAAGACCTGAGTTCAAATACAACCTCAGACATTTACTAGATGTGTGACCCTGGGCAAGTCACTTCACCTCTGTCTGCCTCAGCTTCCTCAACTACAAAATGGAGACAATAATAGTACCTACCTCCCAAGATTGTTGTGAGGGTCAAATGAGATGATGTTTGTAAAGTTCTCAGCACAATGTCTGACACACAGTAGGCTTAATAAATGCTTGTTCTCTTCTCTCTTCCCCTCTGGGACCATGAGGACAGAGATGGTCCAATAGATACTTTCCATAATAGAGACCAAGGGCCCTCTTTGAGTCTATGATACAATGGAAAAAGTGGGGGCAGCTAGGTGACACAGTGGATAGAGCACCAGCCTTGGGGTCAGGAGGACCTGAGCTCAAATCCGGCCTCAGACCAAACACTTGACACGTACTAGTTGTGTGACCCTGGGCAAGTCACTTAACCCCAATAGCCTAAAAATAATTTTTTTTTAAAATGACAGAGTTGGAGTTGGAGAATAAGGGTTCAAATCCTGGCTCTGCCATTTACTACCTGTGTGACCTTGAGCAAGCTATACCTGCCCTCTGGGCCTCCGTTTCTCCATTTGTAAAATGATGGTGTTGGACTCAATGACTTGCAACATTCCTTTGAGCTCTGAATCTAGGATGCAATGATTCATAAATGCTCTAGCTTAGAGGTCTTAGAGAGTTTCACTTTGGTAACAAAGGCAACTCAATATCGCTCCCACCCTGGATGATAATGAACTTGGTCTGTCTTTGGCAGGGAGGCTCCTTTTCCAAGGGTATAGACCTAAAACACACTTCTGATGTAGATGTGCTTCTTTTCCTGAGTTGCTTCTCCAGCTATAAAGACCACTACAAACTGCGAGGTCCCATCATTGAATTCATGATGGAGAAACTCGAGAAGTGTCAAAAAAGCATAGCCTACAACATTACCAACATCTCAAAACGAGGGTCCTCAAAAAGGTCTGTGGCCCCACGATCCTTGAACTTCGATGTCCAGTCAAAGAAGAGGAAGAAACTGATCCATGTGGATGTGCTACCCGTCTTCGATGCTCTAGGTAAGAGCAGACTAATGCCTCCATGAGAAGGCAGCCTTTCTAGGAAAAGCAGTTCTTAACCTGAGGTCCACAAAGGGATTGGACAGCTTTCACAGAGGGTGGAGAAGGGTGGATTGGGTTCCACACAAAATAACATCTTTATTTCAATATAAGACAAATCAAGTCAACAAATATTTTAGATACTATGTGTCTAGCACTAAGCTAAATCCTGGAGATACAAAGAAAAGAAAAGCCCAGTCCCTGCTCTGAAGGAGCTTACATTCTAATGGGGGAGACAATATACAAACAAATATGTACAAATAAGATATCGATAGGATAAATTGAAAGTAATATCAGAAGGAAGGCATTAGCGTTAAAAGGAACTGGGAAAGCCTTCTTCCTGAAGCTAAAATTTCAGGTAATATTTAAAGGAAGCCAGGGAAACCAAGAAGAGAGAGAGTTCTAGGCATGGGGGCAACCAATGAAAATTGCCAGAGCTGGGAGATGGAGCGTCTTGTGTGAGGAATAGCCAGGAGGCTACAGGATCAAAGGGTTCATAGAGGAAAGTAAGGTGCAAGACTGATGATATAAAGGGGCCTCCCAAATCAGAAAGTCTAGGAATTTCTGACTTTGCGTAATTGCAGGAGCTCAAGGGGTAGGCAGACTTTAGGGTCTGGCTTTCTTTGGTTTTTGTTTTTTTTTTTTAAATCTCTGTAGGGCTTTAAAAGCCAGAGGACTTTAAATTTTATCTTGGAGGTAATAGGAAGCTTCTGGAGTTTATTGAATTCAGAGATCAATACGGTAATCCTTTGTATTTTATTCTATGCATTTTATTCTATGTATTTAAAAGCTATATTCTGATGTTGAAAACTAAAAATAAATAAATGAATCTTAAAAAAAAAGAAAGAAAGAAAATTCTATATTCTGAGAAGGGATCCATGTGCTTCCCCAGACTGCCAAAGGGATCCATGACATGCAAAGAAAAAAAAGTTTAGGAACACCTGTGTTAGGGTAATTGTCTGAGATGCAGTTCTTTCTGGGAAATATATGGAAGATGATGTGGTAAACAAATGTTGAGAAAGAGTCATCCATTGAAACTTCTTTTCTAAGTCCATCTGCATCTTCTCTTTCTTGATCTTTTTGTCTCCTTGCTCTGACAATGCTGAGGGCTCCCATTTTTCAGGGAGAAGGAGCTTGAGGTATATCTGGTGGGTTGAACCACAGTGAAATAATTGTTTGTGAGTTCTAAGGTCCAATCTAATCCAATAAACAAGTATTATGCAACTACTATAGGCTTGGTGCTAAGGATAGACACAAAGACAAAATGAGAAAAAAATGTCCCTGCCCCTGATGAGCTTATGTTTTCCTTTGGGGGGTGCAACATCCAAACAGATAAGCCTACAAGGGACAATTGAGGAGGAGGGAGAGAGCAGTTAGCAACTTCATGCTCAGCACAAGTGCCTGCCCCTGGTAGGTCTCAATAAATATTTTTGACTAACTGACCACTAGGTGGATTAGGAAAAACTTTCCTTGGAAACTACCAAGTGAGTTGAGCTTGAAAGAAGACTTCTAAGAGGTAGAGGTGAGAAGGGATGGGGGACAATTTGGTGTAAAAGCAGAGATGGGAGATGGAGTGTTGAGTGTGAGGAACATTAAGATGGTCAATTTAGCTAGAACGTGTCTTATGTTATAGTGAATAATGTGAATGAAGAGATATAAGAAAATACTCCTCACCCACCCTTTGGGGGAGGTGGGAGATCCGTAGGTGTTACACACTACATATTGTACATATTTTGGGGCTTTCTCAATGTATCAATCAGTTATCCTGATTTTTTTTTCTCTCCCTACCTGCACTATTTGTCATATGGAATGGCTCTCAAGGAAGGGGAGGAAAAAGATACATGGGATATCATGGTGATATAAGAAACAGAAAACAACAATAAAAATTACTTTAACATAAATTAATAATGATAACAGCATAAGAAATGAATAGGAAATAAGACTCATAAGGTTTACAAGATAGATTGGAGCCAGGTTGTGAAGGACCATCAATGTCAAGTTGAGGTATTTTGTCCTAAAGACAGTAAGGAGTGACTGAGCATTTAGAGGAGTGATATAGCCAGATTTGGCTTTATAATGATTGTTATATCCAGACAATGTCTCTCTCACCTGTCAGGGGAAGAAAATTTACCCTCAAGTAAAGAGGATTACTCAGATCTGGATCCAAGACTTACTATACAGCAAAAGGTTTATGAAAAATTAATAAAGAATGGAGGGGGCCCTGGAGAGTTCACTCCATCCTTCAGTGAACTGCAAAGAAATTTTGTGAAACATCATCCAGCCAAGCTGAAGAGCCTTCTTCGGCTAGTGAAGCATTGGCACCGAGAGGTAAGGTGGGCAGGGCATCCAGAGGCTTCGCCGTGGCTCCAAAGGGTAAGGGGAGAGACGGCATAGAAAGACGTGTGTGACCAAGGAAAAGGGCAGTGTGTTTGTGACAAAGAGAAGGATGGGATTGTAAAGATGCCTTTCCAAGCCTTACAACACTCCTCTGGAAAGAGCTTTGGTTGTTTTCCCCCAGGTTTGAATTCTAGCTCTCTTATTAGTGACCTGGGAGACACTGGCAAATCACTTCATTTCTCCAGATTGCTGGTCCCTCATTTCTCAAATGACAGGATTGGAACTAGATAATCTCCAAGGTCCCTTCCAACCATAAATCTTATGGTCTTGTGAGATGTCCTCACAGGTGTTAAGACTGCTAGGTCGCATTGCTAAATCAATCAACAAAAACTTGGTAGGTGCTGTCCTAGGTGCTGTCCTGGGTGCTGGAGAGATAACGATTAAAAAAAGAAATAGCCCATGACCTCAAGAAGCTGGCATTCTATCAGGGGAGATAATATGTACATTTGCAAATGTATGTCCAAAATAACAAAGTATGTTTGCTACTAAGTAAAAACAAAGTAAATATAAGGCAGGGGTTCTTAATCTGGGTATCTGTGGATAGATTTGTGGGGGTCTATGAGCTTGGATACAAAAAATAATTTTATAATCTTATTTCAATACAACTAGTTTACTTTATAACTCTATATATTTTATTTTATGCATTAAAAAATTCTATAGGTTCCATTGGGCTCCCAAAGGGGTCCAGGAGTGTCTACCATGTACCAAGAACTGTGTCCACACTGAAGATACATAGTGAGAGAATCCCTGGCTTCAAAGAGAAAGCTAGGTGGCATAATAAAGTACTAGACCTGGAGTCAGGCAGACTTGACTCCAAATCTTGCCTCACATATTTCCTAGCTCTGTGGCCCTGGATAAGTCACGTAACTTCTCCTGGCCCCATTTTCCTTATTTGTAAAATGAGGATAACTCTATCATCTGGCAATTTCCTAGAGTTGTTGTGAGGATCAGATCTGTGTAAAAGGCTTTATAAAACTGAAAGGCCAGTTTTGAGGAGATGATATGCACATAGATGGATAGGTCTATACAAGATACATGCAGAGTAGATACAAGGTAGATTTAGAAAGGAAGGCTCTAGGAGCTGGAAGGAGAGAGAGAAAAGTCTCTTGCAGATGGTGGCATCAGAGCTCTAAATCTTGAAGAGATCCTGAAAGGCAGAGGTGAGGAGGAAGCATGGGGGACAGCCAGTGGAGAGACAGCAAATGGAGCATTGTGTTTGAGGGTGGCAGGAAGTGTCAGATTGGCTGGATCATGGCACTCATGAAATGGAGTAAAAAGTGTGTTAATGTAGAGAAGAGGTCAGTTGTGAAAGGCTAGGTCTATGAATGCCGCATAAAGGAGTTTGTATTTCATTCTAGAAGCAATAAGGAGCCCCTGAAGCTTATTGAGTAAGAGAATAACATGGGCAGCCTTGTGTTTTATTGGGGGAAACCACCTTGGCCATTGGGTTGAGGATGGTTTAGAATTGAGGAGGAGGCTTGAGGCAGTGAGAGCAATTAGCAGGCTATTTCAATAATCCAGATGTGAGGTGATGGGGTCCTGGTTTAGGATGGTGGCTACATGAGTGGAGAGGATGGGATATAGGTGAGAGGTGTTCTAGATAGAAACCACAAGACGTGATTAGATATGTGGGTCATGTGAGAGTGAATAGTTGAGGATAATGCTGAAGCTGCAAACCTAAGTAATTAGGAGGGTGGTGATGTCCTTGAATTAAATAAAAGGGTCGGGCAGCTAGGTGGCGCAGTGGATAGAGCACCGGCCCTGAAGTCAGGAGTACCTGAATTCAAATCCAGCCTGAGACCAAACACTTGACACTCACTAGCTGTGTGACTCTGGGCAAGTCACTTAACCCCAACTGCCTAAGCAAAAAAAAAAATAAAAATAAAAAATAAATAAAAAATAAAAATGAGACTAAATAAAAGGGCCAAGGAGAAATGGAAAGGCTTCATGTAGAAGGTAGGTGTTTGTGTTGAGCTTATGAAGAAAACTAGGGATTCAAAGAGTCATGAGTGAGATGGAAGACCATTTCAGGCATAGGAAACATTCTGTACGAAAGTACAGAAATGGGAGATAGAGTGGTGTGTAAGGAACAGGAAGAATGCCAGTTTAAGCACACAAAAGGGGCTAATCAATATATGAGAAAGGTAAGTTAGAATCAAGTTGTAACTAAAATATATTTATTGCTTGCAAGAGGTTGCCTTCACAGTACTCTCTAAAACCCAGAAAAGGTGTGAATTGTTTCCCTTACGCCATTTCTACGGGACTGTCTTTGATCTCAGCAACCCTCTTCCAGTCTAAATGCTGCCCCTCTCTGATGACCCAAGAGAAAGACGAAAACCTTACCACGTGATCCTTATATGATCTAATGAATCTTTAGACACTAAAACCATTGTTGCTATACCTTAATCTGAGAACAATGTCATCATCAAATGAGATATTTGTAAAATGCTTAACACAGTGCCTGGTACAGAGTGCCTACTTGGCTTGTTCTCTTCCCACCTTCTCCTTTTCCACCGTAAGGTAAAGTGTAGATAAAGGTAGGCCATGGTGAAAGTGAGACTCAGATTTCTTATCAATACCCGGAGGTCTTGGAACAGGTAGAAATTGAAATTTTTGGGACCCTTGAAATTCTAGGGACTGGCTAAGTCTCTAAAATGTGCTTAAGAGCATGGTTGTCTTGGAGAATTCAAGTGGGTGAGAAACATATAGAGAAAAGCAGGATGGAGAAGACCTTGAACTTTACTGAGCAGTATTTCTCAATCTGCAGTCCTAAAACTCTTCGATCTCAAAATGTCTCTATCTCTTTTAATAGTATGTGAAAAACAAATACCCAAGAAAGCATTGCCCCCCCAAATATGCCCTGGAGCTGCTGACTATCTATGCCTGGGAGACAGGAACTGAAAAAGCAGAGGACTTCAGTCTAGCTGAAGGATTTGTGACTGTGATGAAGTTGCTGAAGGATTACAAAAGTATCTGTATCTACTGGACCGACTATTATAATTTCAAAAATCATGTAGTCGGACGCTTTGTGAAAAGGCAGCTGAAGCAAATATCACAAACCAAGAAGAATAAAGGGTGAGTAATTTTCCTCTCTTTGCCTCTGCTCCCTATAGGTGATGGTCCCTGGAGACTAAGGATAACTGTCAAATAGCAAAAAGTGGCAATCATGTAGTACTTTAAGATTTAAAAAGCACTTTACGTGCTGGGTGATGCAGCCGATAGAGCTCTGGGCCTGGAGTCAAGAACACCCAAGTTCAAATCCAGCCTCAGGCACTTACTGGCTGTGTGACCTTGGGCAAGTCACTCATCTTTTGTCTGCCTCAGTTTCCTAAACTGTTAAATGGGGATAATGATAGCATCTGTCTCCCAGGGTTGTTGTGAGAATCAAATGAGATAACATTGATAAAGTGTTTAGCACAGTGCCTGGCACGTAGTAGGTGTTAAATAAAAATGATAGCTATTTGAGTCACACAACAACTCTGTCAAGTGTTATGATTATTTATTGCATTTTTACAGATGAGGAAATTAAGGTTCTGAGGAGTTAATTTTCCACCTAACCCCTGGGGTTTTTGCATTTGGGGCAAAATCAGAGTATGGGAAACTCTTAGATAAGAGAATTTAAGTATAGTGTAGTGCTTGTGGCTGAATCTGGAAGGGAAATGAGGGAAAGAGCAGAGCTCAGAGAATTTCTTTCAAAGCTCAAAGAGGTGATAACAACTAGAAAATCCTGTCTGAGTTCTTTGTTCCAAGATGCCTGCAGGGGTCTAATGGCCTCCCTCAAGTCTCTCCCTTCCCTGCCAGAGCTCAGCTCTCCTTCCAGTTACCCCTTTCACCTGTTGTTGCTAATGTTGCCCATTCTTTCCAGATAAGCTCGTTAAGTGCCAGATGGGATTTGCCATCTACCCTGGCTACTGCTCAGTTGATGGGTTCCCCCCACTCCTTTCAGTATGCTCTCTTTCAAATTGTGTGGGTCTCTTTAAGAAAGCCTGGGTGTGACTCTAATATATCTTCTGACTCATAGATTGTGACAGCACCAGATAGCTTAAAAGGTTGAGAAAGAATGCGTGTTCCTCTGAACTACAAACCCCAGGATAACCAATCTGTTCTCAAACCACTAAGTGCATAAGGAAACAGTTCCCTGAGCTGGTTTCAGTGGGAAATGAGATGACCTTCTTCCCCCAGCCCAGTCCTATCCTGATGGGAGAACCCTTCTAGACAGCAGCAGTTGGTGTCATCACACAAGAGTACCCCAAAATTTCCTTGTATTCCTTATAGGTGGGTACCACCACCCCTTAAATCTACTTAAAGAGATATAAACACCCTATAATCATTGACCCACTTAATGGTGCTCCAAAGAAGAATGGAACTCTTCAAGAAGCTAGATAAACACTGGCCAAAGATATTGCAGAAGGTATTCAGGGTTCAAGGACAGCTAAGTGGTGTAGTGGATAAAGTACCAGGCCTAGAGTCAAGAAGACTTATCTTCCTGAGTTCTAATCCAGCCTCAGACATTTACTAGCTATGTGACGCTGGGCAAGTCATATAGCCCTGTGTTCCTCAGTTTCTTCATCTTAAAATGAGCTGGGGAAGAACATTTCAGTATCTTTGCCAAGAAAGTCCCAAATGGGGTCACAAAGAGTCAGACACAACTGAAATAACTGAAGAATAACAACAACAGGCCAGTGGCAGCACCACTTGGTGGAAAGAACTCTATTTAAAGACACAAAGCTCTGTCTTAAAATACCAGCTTTGGTGTTCACTAGTTGTATTATACTTTGGCAGGTTGAATCGACTCAATAGAGCAAGTATTTATTGAACACCTGTGATATGCCAGGCATGCTTTAGACACAGAGAATACAAAGACAAAACAAAATAAACCTTCCCTCAAGGAACTTTCCTTCTCCTTGGGGGAAACATATGCATAAATAAAAATAACTACCCCGCCCCAAAAAAAGTGTATACATTTTTGGTTGAACCATATCTGTGATTTCTTCTGTGAATAGAACTTCCCATGAGGAAAATCCTTCTACCAGCACAGATCGGCACTTTCTCTGAAACTACTCATGGTACGAGAGATTTGCCTGGGCCACTGAGAGGTTAAGTGACTTACTTAGCATCACAGATGAGAGAACTGACCAAAACCTGACCACTTGATCAGCTGATACATGCCAAGAGTTGTTTGAACAGTACAGAGCTGAGGTAAAATATAAAATACCTAATGAACAGCCCTGTAGACTGTGTTACATTCTCATAACAGTATCAGCCTTCCAGAAGATTGTAATGACAATTAGAAGCCAAATTACTGCATGCTGTTTTAAGTTTGTTTTTGGTCAAGTGAATACTTGTGAATCATTGATATTTAGCATTTCTTCTGAATGTAGAAACAAATTATCAGCTCTATATTGTATATTATTGAGTACCTTTTTATTCCCTCTTTTTGGGGAAATCATAGATGTGAGTCATTGCCCTAGTTATAAGTAAAGTTGTACAAGGGTAATGAGTTAATGAGCTAACTGTGAGAACAGGGAACCTAGACACATTTCATCAGAGGCCAGCCTCTCCAGCACTGAACTTGGTCCAAACTACATAACTGGGTAAATAATGAAAAGTGGCTATAATACTCTAGATTCCACAAGCTCATCAAAGTTAGATAAAGCTCCTAAGAGATTGCAATGAGGAGAGAGTGTGTTCCAGGAATGGGGGACAGCCTATAAAAAGGCAGAGACAAGAGATGAAATACTTTTTAAAATTATATTTATTTCATTAGATATTTCCCAATTACATTATAAATAATTTTTAATATTCAGTTTTTTAAATTTTGAGTTCCAAATTCTCTTCCTCCCTCCAGCTTCTCCCTTAATGATCTAGAAGGCAATTAATATCATATTAATTGCAATGGGAAGTCTTGCAAAACATTTCCATATTAACCATGTTGCAAAAGAAAACATAAGAAAAATAAAGAAAGTGAAAAAATATGATTCAATCTATATTCAAAGTTCATCAGTTCTCTCTCTTGAGTTGGAAAGCATTTTTCATCATGGGTCCTTTGGAATTGTCTTGGGTCATTTGTATTGCTGAAAACAGCTAGGTCTTTTATAGTTGATCATTGTTACAATATTGATTTTACTATGTCCAATGTTCTCCTAGTTCTGCTCATTTCACTTTGCAGCAGTTCAATTAAGTCTTCCCAAGTTTTTCTAAAACCATCCTGCTCATCATTTCATCACAATCATACACCACAACTTGTTCAGCCATTCCCCAATGGATGGGCATCCCCTCAATTTAATGGAATGCTTTTTGATGTAAATAATAACTAAGCAAGTCACTTCCTTTTCTCAGCCTTGTGGGAATGAAAATGAGAACCACAACTATTTTTTCAACATCTTGATGGAATAACATTGTAGAAATCCCCCAACCACCTGGTGACCTAATATTAGAATCCTTATACAAATACATGGTAAAGTGGATGGTCTCATCCACTGTTGAAATAACTACTTGCTGTCCTTGGATAAGAGATTGCAGTTTTGTCTAAAAGGATTTCTTTCACAATTGTAAAAGTACTTGGTCATTTCCCTTTACCTCTTGCCCTTGAATGTGTAATATTTTCTTATTCTTAAATATATTCTGTCACTTGCATTCTGAATACTCTCTTTTTTTCTCCTTTGACTGATCCCCTTCTTTCTCTACCTCTCCCTTGCCTTGGAAATGCTTTACTTTTCTATCCCAAATTGCTACATGATACTGCTGATTGCCTGTGTAGTCTAAGTGGGACTGAAAGGTTATTAAAAGCAAGTTTTTTCTGTCCCCCAGAAATCTGAGTTTGCTATTATCAAGAGCAGATTCCTTAGCATGCTAATAAATCTCTTTACTTTCAATTTGGCCTACTGTTTTTGACCCATGGTTAGTGGACTCCCACTGATAGGTATGCCTCGCCCAAGAGGTTGAGAGGATTGCCCAACAGCTTCCATTGCCTTATCTATAAAATGAAGGGGTTGGACCTAATGATGATGATAATTATAATGGCTAACATTTATATGGCACCTACTATGTGCCAGGCACTGTGGTAAGTGCTTTACAATTATTATCTCATTTGATCTTCCCAATAACCTTGGAAGGTATGTGCTATCATTATCCCAATTTTATAGTTGGGGATATTGAAGCAAATAGAGATTAAGTGACTTGCCCAAGGTCACACAGCTAGTAAGTATCTGAGGCTAGATTTGAACTCAGGTCTTCCTGACTCCAGGCCTGGCATTCTATCCTCTGTGCCACCTAGCTATTTAGATGACCTCTAGAGTCATCCTATGATCTTATAAGATCCTATGATCTTATAATTTTTTTCAATTTTAAGTTCTATGATCCTGAGCTAGGAGAGGAAAAATTCTCTAGCCTGGCCCAAATGGTTCCAACAGAACTGGGCAAGGAGCCTCCCTAAATAAAAGTGACAATCTTCTTTGATATTACAGGCCAGTCATCTTGGACCCGGCAGACCCCACCAACAAAGTAGGATATCAATGCAGGTGGCATAAGGTAGCCATCGAGGCTTCTTACTGCCTTAGGCAGGCCTGCTCTCGAATGAAAGATGGAATTTACATCTCAAGCTGGAATATAAAGGTAATGACCCTTCCCTTGGGGCTGTAGAGACCTCTATCTATTTCCTGCCCCCCTCTAACATGACTGTGGAATTTCTTAGGTCCAACAAAGCCTCCCTGTGAATGAGGTCTGGGCTAGATGAGTGAACTCCATCCGCAGGATTGACTCTTCCTGGGAATGGAGTCTTTCTTCTCTAACTACAGGGTCTATATAGTCAAGGGCACAGAAGTGAATAACAAAGATTCCTCAAGTGCACTTCCCAGGAGGAGAGGGGGCTCTTGTGACCTAGGGTAGTAGAGACCCACAGATAACCAAAGCTTCTCTCTCCCTCTCTCTCTCTCTCTCTCTCTCTCTCTCTCTCTCTGTCTCAGGAAGCAAGAAACATATGGGTGACTCTAACATGTCCTGGTTTATGGAATTTGAAATACTATGTGAATCCCTATGACCCCATCCAAGAGATGAAAAAGGAGATTGAAAGGGTTAAAAAGATCCCCATAAATGATCAGCGGCTCTCCTTCAAGGAACCCAGGATAAAGCCCAAGGTATTGATAGGACACAGCACCCTGGCAAAATATGGTATCTTCTACCAAATACAAATCCAAGTGCTAGACATCAGTTGTGCCAAATGCAAAATCCATGTGAAGTTTCCAGATGACACCTACCAAACCTACCCCTTTGAAAAAAAAGACACTGTCCTGATGGTGAAACAGCAGATTGAAGATCAGGAAAGGCTGCCTGTGACGGGGCAGCTCCTGAGATTCCAAGATCAACGCCTTAAGGCGGGAAAAAAGCTCAGAGGCTATCGCATTAAAGATGGCGACACCCTGGAATTAGAGTTGACAGGAGGCAAAAACAGAAGTTGGAAAAGAAAGGAGATGTCGGTAAGAGCTTAGCAGTCATGGGAACATCCTCAGGTTCCCATCACTAAAGTAAGCCCTGACTCCTCCCCCTCCTCCAACTCCTCCTCCTCCTCCTCTTCCTGCCCCACCCTCTCACTCTCCCTTTCATATCTGAAGTAGGACATGCCAGACAGTGGAACCCCTGAGCGTTGGACTAGGATAATTCTTTAAAGGGGTGGGCAGACTGTGTGATTGTTTTGTCACTCAAAAGTATAAAAAAAAGCCCAGCTAAGTGAGCACTTGTGTCAGTAGCAACACCTGGGTTCTCAATGCCCTCCAGGAAGTACCTGCCTAGCGGCTGTGATGATTCTGGAGAAGGGAAAGGGAAGAGTGTTCAATTTTGACCTGGTATCTTTTTAAATTGATTCTTTTCCTCTCTTCTTAAATTGGGTTTTTAATTGCACTTTGTACTTCACAAATACTTTTTGTTGCATCTTTATCCTCAAGCCTGAAATTCCTAAAATGGCCTAACTTAGGCCTGGCCCAGCATAAAGGGAAAGGAGCCAAGGATGGTAGGTCTGGACTTTCCCTTTTGGGCTGCCCCTCTAGGAAGTCTCTTAATGCTTTTTCTCTTGCTCTTTGTCATCCTCTTCTACCCCAATCCTAAATAAGGAAGGGCTGCTTCTAGGGAGGGCCTGGATGGACATGCTGTTCTGTGTCTTCTCAGTGGTCCCAGCCTATTGTTTGCTCTACAGATCAATGAAACCTGTCTCATTTCGCACTTGTCTTCCTCTTGGTGTCTCCAGCTCCTTGTGTGCTACAGAAGGCATCAGGCAGGGAGGACGCATTACAAGCCCCAGGGAGCAGATTGGCTCACATGTGGAGATCTCTGATCCATGGGGCTATATGTAGAGTGGTGTATACACACTTTAGTCCATAACAGATTCCTGGAGAAGATTCAAGAATGCTGTGATAAATGAATGAATGAATAAGCATTTATTAAGTGCTTAGTATATACTTAGCACTGAGTAGCCACAGCCCCTGCCTTCCCAGAGCTCACACTCTAACTGGGGGAGACGACACATATCAGAGAGTTAATTTGCAAAGCTAGGGGCAACTAGGTGGCACAGTGGATAGAGCACTGGCCCTGGAATCAGGAGGACCTGAGTTCAAATCCAGCCTCAGACACATAACTCTTACTAGCTCTGTGACCCTGGGCAAGTCACTTAACCCCAATTGCCTCACCCCCCAAAAAAATGAAAACTAATTTGCAAGGCTAGTGGGAAGCCCCAGAAGTCCTAAAGTTGCATCAAAAGGGTGGATGGCAAGGCCAAGGGGTCTTTGGGGTGTATCAGCAGTACCTAGAGGTCAGGAGGATGATACAGCAGGGCAGATAGCAAAACCTAGATGTCCTCCATCTTACTGGAAGGGTTATGGTTGATGATTCCCTGCTAACCCAAGTGGTATGAGAATCCCTGGATGCCTGGACTACTGCAACAGCTGCTGGTTGCCTCAAATCTTTCCCCACTCCAGTCCAACCCGAACTCCGCCGTCAACATGATCTTTCTAAAGCTCAGGTCTGTCCATGTCATCTCTCCCCCTCCCTCTCCACTCTGGCCATTCAATAAACTCCAGTGTTTCCTCAAAGGGGTGAATTGGAGCCTGCTCCTGCTGACTCTTTATGTGACCCTGAGAAAGTCATTTGGTCATTGAAACACTTTAAAAACACAAGCGGCAGAGTTGATGCTAACCTATATTAGTAAATAGTTTTCCCACCTGGGAGTTCCCTGTGCCAAAGAAATCACTAGCCCAGTCCTATCCCTATCCTATTCCCTGCATATTTATTCTATGTATATTAATACATATCTTTGTTGTCTCCCCCATTCGAATAGAAACTCCTTGCAAGTAGCTATTGTTTTATTCCTTGTTTCTGTACCCCCAGAGTCTAGCACATAATGGACATTAATAAGTGATTGTTGATTGATTGATGGATTGATTGATGGATCCCACCTACATGGGAATGGGGAACTGAGATAAGGCTCCTTTTACTCCTATGGGGTCAATTTCTCCAGAGCCATACATCAGCCTCCAGGTAGTGAAGAACCAACAATTAAAATTCTCTATAATTTCTCCTCCCACCAGGCCAATGCAAAACTAGAGTAATCTTAAAATGAATTAAGAAAGGTACAGTGTCCATGACTAGGGAGGTGATGGTCCTATTGTTCTCTACCCTGTATGGGGGTGCTCAGGGAGGGCCAGCACCTCTGGTGTGAGCTACTGAGCCCTGACCTTTAGTGTCCACTTGTCACCCAACTCTCACCTGTGGCTCCAAGAAGCTGTTGCATGCACAGCTAAAACCATTTCAGTAGATGGGCTAAGCCAGGTTGAAGGTAACCAACAGACTTCAAACTTATTAGTGAATTGGAGGGAAGTATACACCAAGCATGTGAAGATTTCCCTCATCAGAAAGGGTAAATGAGAACAACTTGTTCCAATGGAGGGCTTAGAGCTTAGTCAGACATCAAAGACACCAAGGCCATCCACTGCATCCCAGTCCTCTTGACTTTTGTCCTGCCACTGGACTTTGACCACTCTGGAAGAGAAAACGAGGCTGATGACTGTGCAGCAGTGCCTCACTTAAATCCTATTGACACTCAAGTCAAGACATCACCCCGTGATGTTCTTGAAAACTCTTTGAAAGACTAAGGATGAACACCATGAACTTCAGCCAGAGTAGAATGGAAACTTCTTGATGTCCCATTTTAGGAAAGATATTGATAAGCTGGAAAGCTTCCAGCAGAGATCATTGGATTGGGGAGGGAGAAAACTGTTAATGGATATGCATCAACCTAGATAATATACAGAAAAATGACACTGTGGGACAAATAGTTATTGAGACACCCAGAAACACTGAGGCAAGAAATATTACAGAAAGAAACCAGCAGTAAAAATTCATGGTCTCCAACATTTAAGCACAATGCACAAAGTTTAAACAATAACAGTATAGACCAGAAGTCCTAACAGGAAAAGGCAAATTTGAACTCATAAGCACCACCTTGACTTGGTAGAATGAGACCAAGGCAATTCCAGGCATGGGAACTCTGGTAGGACACACCTCATTCAAAAGAACTTAATAAGCAAAGGAGAGAGAGACAAACAGACAGACAGAGACAGAGAGAGACACACACACAGAGACAGAGAGAGACAGAGAGAGAGAGAGAGAGAGAGAGAGAGAGAGAGAGAGAAACTTATATTAAGAAGGTTTACTCACACAAAGAACTCTAAGAACCAAGCAGTAGGGGATGGGAGGTGAGGGTGGGGGAAATGGAGAATGGTGGGGAGCATTTGGGTAAAGATCATAAGAGAAATGTGTTGTGATTTTTTTAATTGAGAGTATACCACAGACCACTGAGGAGTTGGGGAAACCAATATCAAAAGTCTGATATAGTAGTGATGGGGGACTTTAGTTATCCAAACATCTGCTGGAGTGCTTTCTCAGCTTGGTCTCGGAGGGTAGAACTTGGAACAATGAGTAGACATTGGTAACAAGGCAGATTTAGGCTGGATGGAAGAAAAACATCCTAAGAGCTATCCAGCAGTGGAATGGAATGCCTCAGGAGGTAAGGTATTCCACTACAATGAACAGCCTCAGGCAAAAGCTTGATGACCACTTGTTGGGGAGATCATAGAGGGAATTCTTGCTTGGATTCTGGTTGGATGGGATGGTTACTAAGGTCTCTTCCAACTTTTGATTCTGGAAAAGTCAAATCACATTAACCAGCTAAGTGGAGGACTGGACATCTCTTGATTCTCTCAAACCTCTTTCAAATAAGAATTATGTGCAAGTGGTAAAAGTAATTGCAGCTGTCTCCACCACAAAATAACAATAGAGGGTCCACTGAGAGATTTCTCTCTAAAAGAACACAAGGGAAGTGAAAGGGTGAAAGATGGATCTTAATTTGAAATTAAAATGTAATGTTTTGAAAAGAAAAAAATTAAAAGGCTTAAAAAATTAGATTAAAAACCAACAAAACGACTTGAAAAGGAAGAGTAAAGGGGGTTTTACTTGACTGAGAAGGGGAAAGGTGGAAAAGAATTAGATAACTAGATTAAAGGACTAACAAAAAGGAAAATTAATAAGTTAAGCAAAACTTCAAAAGTAGGAAAAGGGATAACACAGAGGGAGAAGAGGGGGGGAAGCTTAAGGATGAGAGCCTGTGAGAATAGGATCACCTTCAAGTAGATAAAGCAAAAATAATTAAAGAAACAAAGGGATTTTTTAAAATATCTAATTCTGGGGGGGGGAACCACTATTAGAGACAAATGGAGAAAAATATAAAACAACTCTCATAACTTTAATTGTAAATGTATTAAACAATTCAATAAAATGAAAAACAGTTGATAGAGACTACAAAACCTCACAATATATTGCTTACAAGAAACACACCTAAAAAGCAGACACACATAGAATAAAAATGAGAGACTTAAAACAAAATTTACCCTGTATCAGGTGACTCCAAAAAATGAGGAGTTGCAGACAAAGCATCAGACTATCAGACAAAGTATAAACAAAAATTTGCATCATAAAAAGAGATTGAGCAAGGAAACTTTATTTTGCTGAAAGGAGCCATAGACAACAAGACAATTTCAGTATTAAATTGATATGTTCCAAATTACTTAGCATTTAAATTCATAAGGAACAATGAGTTGAATTACAAAAAGACGTGGAGTAATACAATAATAACAGGAAACTTTAATGTCTTCAATAGTTTGGACAAATCTAATGGAAAGATAAACAAAAAGAGAATATAGAATTGCACAAACTGGAGAAACTAGGACAAAAATATTACGACATGAGACTGTGAAAGAATGCATGCATTTCTCAAAATCACATGAAATCTTTACGAAAACTGACCATGTAGTAGGGTACAGAGATATTTCATATAAATATGAAAAGGCAAAAATAGTAAGAACATCCTTCACAGAAAATGTTTATTAACAATAAAAATGTTATTCAGTTTGGAGAACACAAGAGATGCAGACCCAAATGAAAAGTTAACAATAAAATCCTCAAAAATGAGTAGATCAAACAAAAAAATCACAGAAATAATTAACAATTGCATGAAAGAAAAATGGTAATGATGAAACAACATGCAAAAATTTCTGGGATGCTGCTAAAGCAGTCTTTAAGGGGAAAAGTATATCACTAAAAAAATACAATAGCAAACTAGAAAACGAGAGGATTAATGAACTGAATGTGCATTTTAAAAATTAGAAGGCAAACAAATAAGCCTAAAAATAGCATAAAAGAGAAGATTAAAACCAGAGGAGTGATAAACAAATAGGAAACCATGAAAAAAAACTGTAGAAATGATAAGTAAAATTAAAAACTAGTTCTTTAGAAAAGACTAACAAAAGTGATAAACCTTTATCTAATCTTACTAAAAAGAAGATAGAAAATCCAAACAACAAACTAGCAAATGAACAATGTGAAATGATAACAAAACCAGAAGAAACTTTTAAAATTACAAGACTCAACCCTGAGATTCTGTCAGTATGGTTTGGGGTTTCCAAACAGGAAAACCAAGAAATGAAATTCAAAGAGCTATAAACATGGTAAGAGATCACCCTAAGATGGCATAAAAAGAGGGTTCATTGAAACTCCATATGGGCATCCTCCAGCTATGTATTTGTCCCCAAAAAAAGGGAGAATTGAGCCTTACTTCAAAGAGGCCTCTTTCCTTTCCTCCAACCCTTTATTCTCATGGGATCAGGCACAAGAATTGG